GTGCACCCCCCTCCCGCAGATGCAGAGCGCGGGCTGCTCCGCGGGCCCTTGCCCGGCTAATTGCCGGAGGTAAACGCCTCTAATTAAGCCGTTGAAGAGCCGGGCTGTAGCCCTGGGGCGGGGGTCTCTCGTCTCTAACGAGCCTTTTCCCCAGCATCCCGCCCTTCCCTCCCGGAGGGCTCCCTTGGGGGGGCAGCCTCTGTCTCTCAGTGGGGCCCTTCCCCGGGACCCCCGCTCCGCTCCTCAGCTTCCATCCCCCGCGTCTCCACCCGGCTCCGAGGACCCCGGAGGGTTCCCCAGCGCAAAGCTCCAGGGGGAACCCAGCGCTCTCGTCCACTAAGTTATTTCCCTCCCGCACTCGAAAAATGCGATTCCTCCCACACGGGAGGAGGAAAAAGTCACCGGCAGCCACCAGGAAGGTCTCCAGGAGCTGCCCCAGCACTCCACCGTCTTTGTGGCCAACCCTCGGGATCAGTCCTACAGCATCACCCACAAATTTCTGTCGATTCCCCCACCCCAGTGCGAAAAACAAAAGCCGTTCCCCACATGGCCGTGGCCAGGTGAGGGGCTCAGACCGGGCCAAGGGTAACCCACCAGTGTGGTTTACGGACATAGGTCTTGTCAAGCTATCTTGGTGCCTCTTCCATGAGATCTCCAACTCCGCCGACGAAGGAAAGAGCTTTCAAACGAACACAATCCCACAAGGGATCGTGACCTTGAAACCAGAATGATATCAAAACTGATAAAATGATCATCAAAAATGGTGCTCAGTAAGTCCAAATGATAAATCAAAAATGATGCTCAGTAAGTCAAGTGAAAAATAAGTCTTAAAATATAATGGCAAATAGGGAATCCACCATGCAAGAGACCCTAGAGGGAGAAAATTGGGGGAGAAAAATTCGAACGTTGGTGATGAAGCCTGTGAGGAAGCCAGGGCCATGCACCTACAGAAGAAAATGTGGGCCACCTAACAGCGAACAGCGTATTTTGGGGTAACACTGTGGGGCCCAGAGGCTAATCTGATCCCCAGATGAATAAAGAGGCAATCAGAAACACTGTCTTCAACCGCAGCATCCACAGCTGGAGGAAGACACTGGAGGTCAAGAGAGAAGATCCATCATCTCCTCTACACCAGGAGGTTCCAGCACTTGCTACACACAACATAACTGAAGGGGGACTTCACCGAGGGGGAATTAAACCCAAAAATGTGGGCTTTGAGAAAACTTCCAGCCAGCAGAGAAGGAACAGCTGGAAAGCTGAAACTCCGCACATTCAGCGTCGAAGAGACACGTAATGGGATATAATTAGCCACTGGAAGAACTTTCAAAGAGGTTATAATGGATTTGCGGCTGTTAATTAATTTGGGGAAGCTCTGTGACCCCTGCGCTGCGGGCAGTGAGAGTAGCTGATCGCAGTGACATAAATGCATCAGGCTGAGAAAATGCTGCTGAGCCTGGACCCAGAAATAAGCAGGTTTCCCTGGTGAAAAAGTACCGTGAATTTGGGTACCCGCAGCCAGAACTGCAAACCTCAGCACTGCAGCTGGCGGGCAGAGCTGCCTCGAGCCGCCGGGAGCTGATCTCCTGCCAGAACACCATCCAGACGTGCGTCCTGAGCAGGACCAGCAGCTGAGTTCCTCTCCTTTTGGTCACCTCTACTTCACAGCTGTCATCCGGGTCCAGTTCTCTCCTCCTTACTGGGAATCTTCAACCCTCGTCTCACAGGAGAGAGCCCTCTGCAAAGTCTTTTTGGGTCTGGAGAGGAAAATGCTTTGTGTTTCTTTCACCGCCTGATGTTCTGCAGGTACAAGAAGGCGAAATGCCTCGGGCTGGAGAGAAGTGACCACGAGTGTCATCAGCAGCTGTGCAATCCCAGGAATGGAGACCTGGAAATCCTGACAGCCACAGCCTGCTTCAAGGACTTCAAACAGCTGCGAGATAAAAGCGCAGCCCAAAGCATGCCTGCAGGATCTGTCCCCCAGTACGTCGGCGCTGGGTAACGCACAGGCTAAGCGCAGGGCTGCACCGCCCCAAGGCAGCCCCGCACCACACGCTCCTGCTGCCCGAGGAGTGACGGGATGTGTCCGGATGGGATGACGCGCCTGCACATGACAGAACAGACTTTGTCCCAACTCCTTTACGTTTAATCTGCAGGATGAGAAAACTCGTTGTGCAGCCCAGCCCCCCCGAGGGGTGCTTTCTAGGCCCCCCAGCAGCAGATGAGCTTGCAGCCTGGGAGAAGAAAGCCAAGTTTTTTCCACCAACCTGCAGCCTCACCTGTGCTCTTTGTAACCATGCAGGGTAAGGAACCCCAATTTCTACTCCTGCAGCATAACCATTCTCTGCTTCAGCCCTGCTCTAACACCCTTGTAGCACCCAGGTAAATTCCTGGCACGTAACAGCCCCGTGGCCTAGCGCCGCGACGTGCTTGGGGTGGTTGACAAACACTCATTTACAGCGTAACTCATGTCAGAGCTCAGCAAACTAACGGCGATGGGAGTCTTCGTGCCATACCAATTTCTTGTGCCTCAACAAGGCTGCGCGCAGAAAGGTTCTGGAGATTCCCAAGAAGCTCTCTGCCAGGCAGCCTTATCTACCTGCTGAGCAAGTGGTGGAGCACAGCACTGCTACGCTTTCACCCCTTCTCTCCCATTTTGCAGACGCCCAGCAGCAATGCCCCTCAACATCATGCACCATAAACGTTCCCTACTGAACCATAAGGCACGTGCTGAAGATGCTCTGGCCCTTCTCTCCTAAAGGATCTGTTCCTAAGCATGTCAACTGATGTGCACTACACACATACTTAAAAAAATTCTTTATTTACATTTCAAAATGTAAGAAAAAAAAAAGATGTCAATTATTAAATAATTTCAGGAGAACGTCAAGACCGCAGATCCTGTGGAGAGGACTGGGGTGGTGGGGGAGCTGGCTGGGGCTGGAACTGTGTAGAGCCAGCACAGGCCTAACCACCGGTGAAGGAGCACTGAAACGAAGGAGAAGAAACAAGCTCGCAATGCTGGACAGCCATTCCCACCTCATCCTACAACAGCAAGGCTGTGCAGTGACACTGGGTGCCGCTACAGCCATGTTCAGGTGAGCGCTGCTTGCTGCGTGCACCAGCTCCCGTCAGACCCGACCCAGACAACTCGGGAGTCCTCCTGGGTCTCCACACCATCTGCCTCTACCTCTAAGCTTAAAACCAATGCTGCCTGTTTCTTCTGGCTGATTTCAAAGGATCTTGACAAGTAACTGATTTAGCTGTCTGCAGCTGGGTGAGACGCGTGCTGTTCTGGTCTGCAGGCAGCCCCCAGGCAGCAGGGTACAGAAAGGCAGTTCCTAACACCTGGCTGGGAAGAAGCAAGGTGGCACCAGCCTCGTATCCAGAAATGAAAGGCTTCTCAGGCTGGATGCTGGCCAGAGATCAGGTACTCCAAACAGAAAGATCAACAAGTTGAGGCCTGAGAACCCTAAACGGGACCTGACCCATCAGCACTAGTCCACCCAGCTGCAAGAAAGGCTGTTAACAAAGCTGTCCCTATCTTCAAAAGGCTATAAATGCCACTAGAGGTACCAGGGAAACGAAAGAATGATTACATTCCCTGTCGTCACTTCATCAAACAGGAGGAGCTCCAAGAGTCAGGCGCTGCAGAGCTGAAAGACTTTGTTATGGAAGCAGTGGCGCGTCTCCATGGGTAATTCCAGATGTCTATGGAAATCGTCTGATGGAAGGCCAGAAATTGCAGGGATTTGCTTTTGTCAGTGCCTGCCTGCCTGCTGAAATTTGAAAAATCAACAACCAAAAGGCTAATACACCAGATTTTTGACAAGCTGCAGCCTGACACATTGAAATCTGGACAGATTTGTTTAAATGCTTGTGGTTTTTACTGTGAAGCGGGCGGACAAAAGGAAACAGAATATTGTACGTTAGCCTAAGCTCTGTCCTAAGCCTAAGCTCTGTCCTGAGCCTAGTGGTTTAGCCAAAATTAACCCGGAATAACAGTAAATACTGGAAACATCTCCCTTCAGAGGAGGACAGAGGTATTTTTTCGGGTTAAGGTAAGACTATGTCACATGGTAACTCCTTGGCCCTTCGGTGGTGGCAGTCCTGTGGCTGTGCTGAGCAAGAAGGCTCAAGTCCTCTCTTCCTCCTCTTCTTTCCTCGATCCCTGCCTGCCCCACACGTGGATGCTCTGCTTTCTGCAGCAACAGGATTGTTCACCAACCCACAGGTGAAAGTGAAGCCTCCCACCCCCCGTCCAGGCAGCCTAACCCCATCCAAGGCACAGCTCCCGCAACCCCATCTTCTCCTTGACAGCAGCTGCAAAATCGCGTCCCTGTAGCGCTGCCTTTGATGACTGCGTGGCTCGCAGGGAAGCCAGTTCAGGGAGTTGAGCTGGCAAAAAACCCAGCGCTGTCAGGGAGGCATTTTCTGGTGTTTCACTGAGCTGAGTCAGCTCTCTGCAGACTCAAATTTGAGTGCGAAAGGAAGGCAAAAGAAAAGCAAGGAGCAGAGCAGCCCAGAGTTCAGTTGCGCTGGGTGCCTGTGAAGATGGAGACTTACCACGTTCCTCTTTTACTGCTTTACATTTCCCCACACTGGGAGATCACAACCGGCAGCTTGGGTTTGTTATTTGGACCCGTAGGCACATTCTGGGGACAAACAAATATATAAAATTGCACCTTAAAAAAAGCACAGCAAATCCAGAGCACGACATGTACTTGAAGACTGGCTAAGAGATGCCTGTGCAACATCGGGAACAGGGAAATCTAGACACAGCTCTGAGTAACACAGAAGCACTGTCACGTATTTTGGCAACGGACCCAGCCATAAGCCGGTGAATCCTCTGTCCGCAGAGGTCTAGGATCCTTTGGATGGCAGGGAAGGAACTGGGGAGCTCCTCATGAGATACAACAGGCATCATGTCACTTGAGGCTGCTGTGGCTTAAATCTTTGAAGTTACCAATTACAGCTGCAACGAGCAAACTTGTGTGTTTGTATAGACGGGGAATTCAAATATGAGTCACAAAGCAACCCTCACTCTGAGCCTCTCGTTCTGCTGGACTCGGCTGCTCTTTCACAAGTGTCTCATTTAACTCCTCTAATCTGCCCCTCGCTGCAGCGATGCACAAAGCAGGCACGCCACAACCCTTCCATCAGTGCTTCTGGTGAAGAGGGCGAGCGACACGTGCGTTATATCGTGCTGTACAGCTCCTCGCACGCCACCTTTTCTCAACACCTAACAGGTGTCAGCTCTGTGTTTGCCCCACTTTTCAGATTTAGAGGCCCTTGTGCACATTATCCCGTGCGTGTGCTGTCAAGTCAGTGTCAGCTGTCTTGAAGAACTCACTGCTGTTTGTGAAATCTGCTCGTTACCCAGTCACAACACTGCTAGCAGCCATCACCCCTGAGCATATTTATCTTCATCTCCTGGAAGCCCATCAGAAGATTCGGTTAGTTTTTCTTGCTAAACATGCTGATCACAGATCAGCAGAACTGATGATTTAGCATCCACTGAATAATCCCAGGCGATGGCACAGAAGGGATCTGCTTTACGCTCTTGTCTGAGTTGCTGATGGAACAGCTTTTCAGCTCAGCTTCCTGAACAAATGCAAAGCATTGCAAATAAAGCCATAAGAACACAGTCCCCGCTCAAACACTAACCAGCAACCACGAGAGCGTGGCATTTCTAAAGTCAATCCACATGAAAGCCTTTGCCTCAACAAATTTCCTGCTATTTTATAACGATGACAACTGACAATACCAGTTATCAACACTGGTATTCCCTGGTATCCTGTACACAGACAGTGGGAGACAACAGAACAACCCTTGTTAATCCTCCACACAACTTTCCAACGTGGACATGCACAGAGAAATAGGCGAATTCAACTTACTTCAATTTTTCTCATGACCAACAGCCCATCGACAATTTTACCTAGAACGAGAAAATTTATCCACTTCAATACGGCCAGCTTTCACCGTTGCTCCCCCCAGCTCATCACAGGTACAGGAATTTCTGTTCCTCCTCAAAAGTCTTGCGTAGGGTATAGCTCTTGGGCACTTCAGGGTTTGTTACTGATCTCCATGCTGACAGAGGACAGAATCCTCTTCAAACATTTGCCGCATTCGGAACAGATTAAGTGAGTTTTCCCATCGCAGGGGTGGCACGTGTAGAAATCTAGGCTTTGAGATCTACCTCCAACCACTGTGCTAAAATACAGCAGGAACTACCTCTCTAGCAACACAACCTTTGTAATAATGCTAAAACGGCAAGGAACGGTTTCAGTGTTACTTCAGAACTGGAGGAAATACTAAGCAGGACATCAGCTGAAAGGCTAGCCTTGAAATCCGACAGCACATGAAAAGTTAGTAATTCTATGAAACCACATCTGCTATCTCAAAACTCTGCTGAAAGCTCAGTCCTGCTCTCTGACAGTGGAGAAGAACGGTATCCTTCACTCATCTGTCTGTCTCTTCCGCACTGGCACCAGGATTTATGTACTAACACGATACACCAATAAAGGAACTGGTCTGGATTAAAGCTAACCTGGGAAAAAAATGTTTCATTTCAACAGCGATCCGCCTCAGATTCTGGCTGCACAGACACCTCCACTAGCCCAAGCGAGGGGGAAGGAACAAGCAGTCCGTAGCTGTTCACTGTAGCAGCTGTGCTGCAGGGAGCGTCTGTGAGCCGGAACCCAGGCCTTCGCTGCAGGTACTCACCAAACACGACATGTTTTCCATCCAACCAGTCACATTTGGAGCACGTAATGAAAAACTGACAGCCATTGGTACTTGGACCACTGTTTGCCTGGGGGTTGAGAACGGCAAAATATGAAAAGCAGAAAAATTAGGTCTTCCCAAAACCGAAGGCAGACGCATCTCGCATAGGAAAGAGCTGTTGCTCTACACGTAGCCTAGCTTATTTTTAGCTGGTTGCTACACAAACCAAAGGACCCAAGATATACATCTGCTGGAGAGCACCCTGCGCCAGGAATCGGCATGCCACCAAGGCTGGTCGTGCCAGTGTGCGCAAGAGCCAGACCGTCAAGTTTTTATTATACTTCTACAAAGGCACGTTCAGTGCAAGACTGTGCTGAAATCTGGGCTCTAGAGCTTGCTCCTGAAAACAGGCTGAACTTCTTGGTGATGAATACTTACTGGCTGCAGTATTGTCCTGGGGAAAACTGAAAGTCAGGAACCAGGGGAGGAAAAAAGCAGCCGATTTCTGCTATTTGGGAGGTTTCCTCAGAATTAAAAAAAAAATAAAAAAAAAAAAATGGTGTCTGTTCTGACGACCAGTATGAGAAAGGTAACAATCATACTGGCACAAGGCTCACAGGAACAATGTCCCACAGATGTGAAATTTCATTCACACCCGAGCGCAACACCCAGAGCATTCGCGCTCTGCTAAGAAAACATCTCTGCCACACTTCATTTCAATTTTTCAAAGCTCTTTCAACAACCAGGAGGTACTAACGCATGTTTCTGTGCTGACAGGTGAACCGGGCAAGTTTTGCAGCTGCAGGATGGCCCAGGACACAGTCACGCTGGATCTTTTACTTACTGCTAGCCAGCTTCGGAAGGACCTGGCTGGGACGGGCCACGGTTTGGCCCAGCACGACAACTCCTGAGCCACGCTGCTTTAACACAAAGCTGGCAATACCAGTGTGGATCCCTTCTCCCTCACTACAGTACACCGGTTGCTTAGCTGTGTTGTGATGCCTCTTCTTGGACCATGTTTTGAACCGGATGAGTAACTAATCCAAACGGTAAATGCCCAAAGCAACAGGTTTAAGGGCAGGGCAGCTGAAAGAGCTGGGGAAGAAGCAGTTGTGGATAGGAACGCCAAAGCACTGGCTCTGCTTGCTTCCTATTGCAAAAGTCAGTGCATTGCTCCCACCAGACAACATGCGATGGTTGCAGTTTTTCCTACAATGCTGAACAGGAAGCGTATGTTCGAAAAGATACCATGGTAACGCTGCTATGGCTTTGAAACTCCCAAATCTCTTTTGTTTCGTCCTTGCTGAGGTCAGTGTTTGACAGCAGCATCAGGGAAGAAAAAACACCACCACTTGCCAGCATATGAAAACTGTAAGAATCAAGCTTTTCCGGAAGCTGATCAAACCAAGCCTGGCCCAGCACTCCAACAGGTGAAAAAGCAAGGATGCTGCAGGATCAGGACTTCTGTGTTACTCAACACATTAACACACCAGCAGCCTCCTGACCAGCAGTTACAAAGCAGGTCTTCCAGAGCGTGTATCCAACGGCAGAGATTTCTGTTGTCTGGCAAACAATTTATATCCTTCGGAAAAGGGCACAGAGACAGTACCAAAGGCTTTTTAGTCTTACAGTGTCATTATTTTATACTCACCATCGAGAGCAGCCCAGGAGCAGAGTGTTTCAGCTTGAAGTTTTCATCCGCAAAAGGACCCCTATATATGCTGGCTACTCCAGTGCCGTCTCCCTGCACGAGAGCGGTGCCTGGTCAGCCCCAGCATTTCTTCTGTAGCCATTGCTACAGAACAATTCCATTTAAAAATTAAATTTAGCATCCCCCAGCAAAAGGACAGGGTTAAACTCAGCCCAGAACGGGTGGCGTACTGCCATTTATATACACTAGCAGCAAACATGTTCAGTGTTTCATTTCTGAAGGGGAGCAGCGACCGGTTTCCAACTACACAGTACGCTGTTTGCCATCCATATGTTGGCAGAAACCCACAGAGACGGTGGGAGGCTCGGACTCCATCCTTGAGTGAGGTGGAGGCTACAGATTGCTTGGTACGGACCCACCTAGACTTGGTAGGGAAAAGGGAGGGGACACAGATGTATGGGCTGGTGTGACAAACAAAGCAGAAGTGGTTGCGTGGAAAAAGTCAGCTGATGGTATGCTTACTTATTTCACCTTATTTTCCGTGACTTTACTAAAAACAGGGAAGCGATCTCTCTGTTCAACAAGGACAGTTTCTAAAATATGGAGTTTCTAATTTTTGCTGCACTTTCTACTGCATGGAGACATCTCGTACTTAACTACAAGCCCTAGCACTCGGGATCTCCAGACACTTCTAAATCCACGCAGCACGGCCCCTAACAGCTGCGGGCTGCAAGCTCCGGCTGCTCGCGAGTTTGTAACTCTGCAGAAGCCTGACGCACGGTTCAGGCAAGACTCGTAACTGGTGGGACTGCTGAAAGGCCACCCTGCCCTTCGGTCCAGCACTGCAGAGACACTCCTGTGTGGTGCCAACAGGACTGAGCAGCAACCCTTCACTACAACGGCCTTAAAGGTGCTGCAGCAAGGAACCCTTCAGGGAAAGCTGCAGAAGCAATGCCAACAGGCATCTCTGGCACGGTCAGTTAAATCTACCATTCTGACAGTAATTTCCCTTTCTGTGTTGATTTCTGTGCTGATTTTCCTTTTCCGTGTCGCTTCAACCCCATTTCTTCTGCCCTGCTGCAACCCGTCTTCCTCCATTGCTTTTCCACTTAACATAAATGTTCTTTACTAGGCCAAACTTCGCAGGAAAATAAGATGCCAGTAACGCAGCACGTGCAGCTCCACATCTTTTGCTCTGCTTGCCTAGCCCTTGCTTTCTTTCCTCCTATTCTCTGTGGTTTACCTCAACTATGGCTCTGAGACAAGAACACAGACCCTATCTTAGTGGCCAGTGCGACCGTTCTTCCTCCCCAAGGGGATTTGTAATAAGTGTAATTTCTGATTTATAAATACTGGTGCCATCTGTAATGCTTGTTGAGCTTCAGTGGGAGTAATAAAGCCCACCGGGACATTTCAGCAGCATCACAAATAGCGACTACCTAAAAGTCTGCTGGGGCTGAGCCACACGCTGTGTGGTCCGGTCTCTCAGTGACTTTCATACAACCAAGTTTTACAAATTTTGTATTAAAAAAGCTTGATCACCCCCCTCCGATTTTGAAATGCTTCCAGAAATCAAGTCATTTTACCAGATCCCAGGTCAGTGAAGAGACCCAGCAGTCCTCCAGCCTCCTGCAAATGCTCTGCTTATCCCCAAGTCAGAGCACGAGCAACACTGAGGGCACAAAGTCTTTTCTATTGTGAGACAATTCACTAACAAAACGTTCGTTTTGATTTAAACTCTCTCTTGCGCTAGACTTGTGGCTCTGTACTTGGGGTCTCTCTCCACAAAGCTAATGGAAATTCACAGGGTTTCTTGCTGGGGGGACAGGAGAAGGGGGAAGGACAACAGGGTAAAAAACACCTCTGCACGTTTAAAAAGCCTCTAGCTGTACTGCCATGCTTTTTTCAGAGTGGAAATCTTTTGGCAAAGGGAAGGTATGTTCACCCAAGACTCCAGATCTGTTTTCAAGTACATTACAGTCTGTAGCAGTAAGATGGCAGCAACGCCACAAGGAAACCTCCAGTTACTACTGGGTACCTCAGAAGAGAGCCAACAGATCCCATAAATCAGGATGGACCCTTGGAAAGCGTTCCGTATTATACCACGTAGGAATAGCACAAAGGGAATACAGAAGTACATACGTTTACAAAGTCACCTCCTTGGATCATGAAATCCTTTATGACCCTAGAGAAGTAAAACAGTACTTAGTTCTCAGTAGAAAAATGCCTCAAGAAGCTTAATATGTGATAAAAAGGAGTTCTGCCTCACAGCACAACAAAAGTTCTCGGGGTCTATGAATGCTACAGTCTCAAATCTACAACAAATATTAACGACTGGTTGCCACCAGGTAACTTGGGACCCACTGCTGTTCGACCAGGGACAGCGATTAGGTGACAGATGCTGTTTTGGCACACTGAGAATAGGGGGATCCCTCCCAGCAACCCCAGCGCACGCATCCGACAGCACCTGCAGATCCCCCACAGCTACGGAAGGATGGGATTAGCTGTGCCTTACAAACGCCCCCCCCAGACCAATAACGCCTCCGAGGCAGGTCTCAAAACCCCACCTGGCTCAGACCGCTACTTGATGGCCTAAACAAACGCGGAGGAATTACCTGTGGAAAGTGCTGCCTTTATAACCTATAGGGACACCATCTTTCCTGCAAGGAAATAAAAAGGAAAATCACTGCAACCCCAACACAAAACCCTCCCAGGAGTTCAGAGGCCCAAAGGATTGCCAGGTACCTTCGTAGGTGCCCTGATATACAACCAACCGCCAGGGCCCGGCCCGCAGCTGGTGCTACCGAGGCCACGGCAAACCTCAAGTGGGCTCTGCATCTTCAACGACACCCATCCCACCACCTTAAAGGGACCCTACTGCAATTTGCAGCACGAGCAGGATCTGGAGGCAGGGCTTTTTAGAGCAACCTGAGCATGAACAAAGTCATGCCCAAAAGGGAAAGTCTGCCACCCCCGCGACTGACCAAGCCCACAAGAATTTTGTCAGAACAGATCTCTAACATTTTGCACTGGTATGGTAAGAAAAACCCCCAAGTGAACCTTCCTGCTGCTCCCCCAGCCCTGCTTCTCTGAGTAGGCTACTTGAAAGGACACTATAACCCACTCACCTGAATTCACCCGTACAAAACTGCCTGGAAAACAAAACAGAGCAGAGCGTGAGCCATGTTTGAACTCCGAGGACCCTGAGGGCTGCGTCCAGCGAACACGCGCTGACTGCTGCGCAGGACCTCCCTTACTGCATCGGGGATATCCCCAGCGAAACGGGAACCGGCAGTAGCTCCCCCCAGCTTCCATTTCAACACCGGACTTCTGTCCTTTCTGCAGTTGAGGATGTCAGGTATTTCACACCAGGGTTGTAAGACACTGGACATGGCGCGGGCACCGTGTTTCACAGAGAACAGGGCACACTCATTCCCCCCCGTGGAAGCTGGATGTCCAAGCGGTACATCCTTCGGCCCGTGGCAGAGCACTCTAACGCCACATTAAGGTACTGCCAAGCGTATCAGAAGCTCCGCGGAGGAAGCAGAGAGGGACTGGAGCCCTTCACCTTCCAGCCAGACGGGCTGCCCCGGGGCATCGGGACGCTGCACGCTCACACCTCTCTGGGAACGGAGAGAGGAGCAAAGCCAGCGCGGCGGTTCGGGGGGCGGACGGTCACTCTGCCACCACAGACACTCCCGCACCGTACAGCCTTCGTGGTCCGGGCTGAGCTGCAGGAACGCCACCTGCTCCTTACCTGAAGTTCTCCGCTGTTTTGGGCACGACGTCGGCGAACAGCTCGATCTTCATGCGGCCGACCTCCTGGGGAGACGGTGGTCGGATCAACCTTCCGGGCTCTACACGCACCCCCCCAGCCTCCCCACCCG